ACTAGTGTTAATTCAGTTAGAGATATCTCTAATTTAATTATCACTAGTAGAATTGTAATTTGGGATGTCTCTAATTAGAATTATGCCTAGTACAAAATCAATTATAGATATCTTTAATTACAATTTCTACTAGTAAAAACTCTTTTGTAGATATCCGAAAATATTTTCCAATGGAAGTCAATGGAACAATATGACTATTCGTAATAGCATTGTATATATCTCGAATGTATATTATGACTAGTCAAAATAACATTGTAGATATCTTCAATGCATATAATGACTAGTCATAATCACATTGTAGATATCTTAATTCCAATTACGACGAGTCAAAATTGCAGAATAGATATCTGGAATTGGAATTTTGACTAGTCAAACTAAATTATGACTTGTACAGCAAGGAGTATTTAATGCTAAAACGGCTTGCCATATAGACTGTTTCAACGGCAACAACATAAACAAACGTTAATGCGCATGCGCGGTTTTGTGGCCCTAACTTAACCTCCGGTACACTTCCGCAAACATTCAATAACAACAACAACAAAGTCCCTCTAGAGTAGATTATTTCTAATATTAAGCGAAATAAATAACAATTAAATTAGCTAGCAAGTTAAAACTATGTCTAGTCATTATTATTTTGGGTTACCAGTAGAAGAAAAGAACCGTTATTTGGCCAAACTTAAATGCGACAAAGTTACACTACCAGACCCGTTCAACAAAATGTTGAGGTAAGAATGTTTTTCTACAGACCTGTCTGATTTACCGGAGGTCAGTCAGGTACACATCTTTGAATACCTAGTCGAGAAGAAATGTGTATATACGAGGAAGGCGTACAAGGCATATCACAGCTTGGATGCGTATAACTATTTTAATTCCGGAAAAGTTAAACGCATTCTAACCTACACGAATGGAAATACGGAGAGACACACAAGAAAACAGAGCATAGAACCACTCTGGCATGATGCACGCAAGCTGCGCATAACAGCAAGCACAGCCAGCAAGGTGCCTCAGCGTGAGACAACTGACCCGGTTAAGTTTTTCAATGAACAACTCTACCCAAAGTTCCAGAGAAGTGTGGCCACAAGGTATGGGAAAGAAAGCGAGGGACTTGCAAAGGAGCAGATTAGGGAGAGGGGCTGCATAGTGATGGACAGAGGGTTGATGGTGTGTGGAGGAGACCCATGGCTGGCAGCAAGCCCTGATGGTATCACTGATAACAGGCTGCTAGAAGTAAAATGCCCCATCACACTCAGTGCTTGCACATCCCTTCATGATGCACTCACTGCAACAAAATGCTCATAAAAGGTAAAAATCTGTTTAAACTTATTGGAAAAGATTCATTTCTATCACTGCTGTGAACTAATCACCACACAGAATATGCAGAATATCAAAAAGTTTAGGAGTCAGCTGTCCACGGTAGTCCTTAAGATATCAGCACAACAACACACTCAGCAAAATATCGTCTAATTATTGTTATGGATAAAATCCCAGAAAATATTGAGATATATACAATATTGCACACCCCTAATATATTTAACGTTTTGTTTAGAAAAAATGTTAAATAAATATGAGAAGTGCCCTTTTTTCCAATTGAGCCCCAGCACCTCAGAAATGTCTGTGCATGTCCCTGTTGCATAGAATAGGAAAACATGAAAATGGAAATTGTGACAAATGTGGGTTAGCAGAAACTGTAGACCATGTACTTATAAAATGTGAGGCTTATGAAAGAGAACGTTTCCAGCTAAGTCAAGGTTTTAGATATATGGAAATAAATGATCTGTCACTCCAGGTTCTGTTAGGAGATGGACCGCTATCGAGAATTAGTTTATTATTATTATTATTTAAAGGAAACAGGATTGATTAATAGGATTTAGGATGCCGGGTTTTGTGGTGTTTTTTTCTTCTTCTTGTTTCTAAATCTTTCCAGTAGGTGGCGGGAATGCACCTTTAAGTTGGCTCGCCAACCGCCATTAAATCCTAAAAGAAGACGAAGAAGAAGCGTCATATCCGCGCGACAGCAAACGCGATGGCAGAATCAGGGTGCGTATTTGGACTTTACAAAAACAAATCCTAAACAATCGGTGATGAACATCTGAAAGTTTATTTCATATTTTTCATTTTTAGTATTTATGGGATGTCGTTACTTTTTTAGTATAGGTATTTTTTGTACGGATGGTGTGTAAAGAAAAGTTTACCGGGGTTAAGTAGAGCTTGTTTTCACATGGAGCTACAGCCTCTCTGAACTGATATCAGAGGCCATATTAATACCATATTCAACTCTTCTCTTTAGTACTAACAGTTTTTTTGATACTGTAGTGTGTAACGTTAGATATTTGTTTTAGATGTGAAAATGCGGAATTGGTTGCTGTGGAGTTAAGAAATTTGGCAGTATGGCGAAAACTTGCTCGAGTTTATTTGCATTAACGTTATGATATTCAGCATTAGTTTTATTTTAAAAAAATGCACGTTTATGTCTTTTGACCACACGATCCCATATGTGACGCTGGCTGCGTTTACACTTGGCATTAACATGCGAGCTGTATCTGGATGTTGTCCACATACACATTGAAAAGACAAGTGTAAACGCGCTTCTGATGCGAGTTTTTCCTCCTCCCGTTTAAAAAAAAATCTCTGTCCATCCACATGAAAACGCAATCGCATGCTATGAAGCACTGTCAAGAGCATGCCAAACCAACAGGTGGCGATATAATCTCAACCGTGAAGCCATGTTGGCCAATCACAAGCCTGAAAAAGTCCAAGCCGATGAAGCGCTTAAATCTGACTTTATAGGGTTTATGCTGGACGTCACATAATAGCTATGGGCTTTTAAGGTTATCAGCTAACCTGTGCATTTTGACTGTTGGCGTTTAATATTCATTTCATAGTGACATCGGTTATGCTCCGCTTTGGTACCTCCTTTGAAGGGGTTAAACAGCTCCATATTTAATGTACAAAAGATCAGAACCAGACAATAATATATGTAGATTAGGTAAATTTGTATGTTTTTAATAGGTAACTAACAACGTTTCGTTTACATCAGTGGTTCCCAATTGTGGTTCTGGAGATGAGCTGATGAGTTGAGTCAGGTGATTAAGGAGAATGTGCAGCTTTGGGGGTTCTCCGGGACCAGGATTAGGAATCAGTGGTCAAATTTTGGTAACCACAGACCTTATTTTACTCATAAATTGAAAAACCCTGTTATAGAACCCCATAGGAAAATCTTGAGGGAATCCAGGGTGAATTAGTCTTCTAGGCTTTGATGTCATTCATTCCTGCAGAACTGCAAAGCACAACATCAGAGGAGTCTTAGTAGAAAAGTTCGGGTGGAGATTTGGAAATATTTCAAGTGGAAAAAAAAAAAAAAGTTTTGTAGAATACGGAAGTTTGTTGAATTATCAACAGCAATATGTATTTAATATAACTAAAGACAACAAAGTGAGTGCTATTTGCTTATGTATGATATGACATTTAGTTGTTTTGCTGAATTCCTTAAGGGGGTTTGTGGCAAAGTTTAAAAACGATACAAATTAATAATATAATGCAGGTGTACTATGTACTTGGGGTTATATCAAAACAGAAAGTGCCCAGTTTTAACCATGTCTGTCCTTTTTATTTTGTACATTTAGAATGAATTCTTCATATAAAAAATTGTGCATATTTAATGTCTTTTGTTCAGAACCGAGAAAGTAATCAAGCTTGTTCCTGAGAATCTTCTCAAGAAACGCAAGGCGTACCAGGCTATCAAAGCTACTCAAGCCAAACTTGCGTTACAGCAGAAGAGAAAAGTGAGAATTCCTCATTTGTAACCTGCTTTTATAAATAGTCCAATAATTGCTTCAGAACAAAATTGAAATTGTCAAAACGTCACCAGGTCCAAAAAGGAATTCCCTTGAAGTTTAAGCGCTTGGAGGAGTTTTTGAAAAACAGCAAGAGGAGGAATCGAGATGAGACACGACTCGCCAGACTCAAACAGAGACCTCTGCCGCCCATGCCCCCAGCAAAGAACAGCCTGGTGTTTGCTGTCCGCATCAGAGAGTATGGTCAACTTATTCATCATTCATAATGAGGTTAAAGGGGTAGTTCTCCCAAAAATGACAATTCTGTCGTCATTTACTCACCTTCATGTTATTCTACACCTGATGGAACATAAAGTGCATTAGACTCAACCAACATTCATTCTGTGGACAAAACCAGTAAACAATTGGTCAAAATGTCTACTTATGTGAAATGATTGAACGTGAGATTGTACCTTTCCACATCTGCTTGAATATGTTTTTAATTTTCTCGCATGATTGCTTGTTAGGATCAAAGGCGTGAGCCCCAAAGTGATGAAGGCCGTTCAGATGCTGAGGCTGAGGAAGATCTTTAGTGGCACCTTTGTGAAAGTCAGCAAGGCTTCTATAAAAATGCTTAAGACAGTGGAACCTTATGTTGCGTGGGGGTGAGTAATCATATAATGGTCATTTTACATGTAAAACATGGTTTTAAAAACACCACACTAAATCAGGACAAAAACTGAGCAAAAGTCATGTGGAATATTCCAGGTTTTTAGATGTATTTTTAGGGGATTTAAAGAGCTGGCAGTGTTCTGTCTTTTATTGACTTTCACTTGTTTGATTTATTGTTGTGATCTCTTAACAGATATCCCAATTTGAAATCAGTCCGTGAGCTCATATTAAAAAGAGGTCTGGCGAGGATTGACAAGAGAAGGATTCCTCTGACCGACAATACACTCATAGAGCAGCATCTCGGTAAGTTGTTGACATGGTAGATGCATTTCATTCAGTGGGAGATTGGGCATTTTGAGGTACCTAACAAAACGTTAAGAATGAACTTTAACAAGCAAAAGGATTCATGTAATAAACTTTTGCATGGAGGTTTTTTTTTTTTTAAACGAGGCAGTGAACCTGGTAGCAATCCTTTGTGGAAAATGGGAATTTGTGTAAATATTTGAAATGCACAGAAGTAAAATAAATTCTTTGATATTCTGTGATGGTATAAGTGTCTAACAGTCTTTCATATTCATACTGACGATTAACATTTTTTAATGAAATGTATATTCTGAATGGGTTTCTTTTGTTTGTGTCTCAAGGACAATATGGGATCATCTGTTTGGAGGACCTTATTCACGAGATCTATTCTACTGGAAAGAACTTCAAGGTGGTAAACAACTTTCTGTGTCCGTTCCGTTTGTCAGTACCAAGACATGCTGCTAAAGACAAAGTTGGACTGCTGAAAGATGTTGGTGATCCTGGACCCAGAGCCGAAGACATAAACACAATCATCAGGAAACTCAACTGAGCTAACAGACTTTCATGGACTGCTGTTTAGTCATCATATTTCCTTGACTGTAAATCATTATAATTTTTATTAAACAATGGAAAATTTCACTTTTTTTTTTTCATAAGCTTTTTTGGAAATAGATTATTTTCAGAAGTAATTATGTACCTATTATGCTCCATTCCCTTTTAACGGTCACACTAAACTTTTCGTTCTACTGACTTCCATTTGTACATATGTGAATGTGGAAGAGCAGAAATGCAAGCTCATATGAAGAAGTTTCGCATTTCTTTGTGTTCCAAAGTTTAAGTTTGGCGAATTCTGACCTGCGAATTTGTATCACATGAAAACATGTGACCAACAGAATATTGATACGTCACGGCATGATGATGGTGAAAGCATAAATTTAAAACTACATACGTTTTTAAAAGACGCTGCAGAGCCTGACAGCATATCATGACAGTTGCAATGTCTGAAGAAAGTTGTGACTGGGACTTAGCTTCATAATTCATACTGAAAGCTTTCGAGGGTCAAAGGGTGAAGCGCTCAAAAATAACGAATTAAAAAAAAAATTCAGGAAGGTAGGAATTACATTAATTATAAGATAAAGTAGGAGTAATAAATTCTGTTGTCTTTATGGAAGAGAGTAAAAGAATCGCCAGATGTAACTAGTCAATGTCAGTCTACCAATCACACTGAAGCAAGGGCTCAAATTGTAAAGTTTGACCTTGTGTCAATAAACATGATTTTGCAGTGTTTTTTGGGCTATGTAGCACCAAAACTATGGAGTTTTTTCATGAGTGAGTTATTTTATTCAAAACCAAAGAAAAGATACTTAAAAAAGAAAAATATTAGTAATAATATTTAAAGAGAAAATAATTATATATTGTGATTCCTTTATTACATCACATTATTATTTATAAAAGATTTGATATTTGGTTTTCAAAGTGCCTATTGTATTCTGTACATTACAAACATGTCTAAAATAAAATAATTACAAACTTTTACTATATATATATATATATATACAGCGGGTAAAAGTATTGAACACCACAATTTTTCTCAGTAAATATATTTCTATGGTTCTGTTGACATGAAGTTTTCACCAGATGTCGGTAACAATCCAGGTAATCCATGCATACAAAGGCGGCAAAACAAATAAATTCAGAAATTGAGTTCTGTGTAATAAAGTAGAATGACACAGGGAAAAAGTATTGAAAACATGAAGGAAGGGAGGTGCAAAAAGGCATGAAAAGCCAAGACGCCAGCTGAAATCTAATCGGTCATCATCTTTAGCTGAAATCTATCGGTAATTAGAAAGCAATCCTGCCCCTTGTCAGTGGAAATTAATATTAGCTGGTTCAGTCCCAACTGATGGCCTATAAAAAGGTGTCTCATGAAACATCGTGTCACACAAGAAACATTTCATGATGGGTAAAAGCAAAGAGCTTTCTCAAGACCTGCGCAACCTTATTGCTGCAAAACCTGGCATTGGTTACAGAAGGATTTCTATACTTCTGAATGTTCCAGTGAACACTGTTGGGGCCATAATCCGGAAGTGGAAAGAACATCATTTCACCATAAACCGGCCGCCATGACCACGTGCTCCTCGCAAGATTTCTGAAAAGAATTATCAGAAGAGCTGTCCATGAGTCAATGATCACTTGTGGAGAGCTTCAGAAAGACCTGGAATTAGAATTGAAGGAAGGATGAATGGAAAAATGTACCGAGACATTCTTGATAAAAATCTGCTGTCATCTACCAGGATGATGAAGATGAAATGAGGCTGGGCATTCCAGCGAGACAATGATCCCAAACACAGCCAAGGAAACTTTCATTTGGTTTCAGAGAAAGAAAGTAAAGCTGCTAGAATGGCCCACCCAATCACCTGACTTGAATCCAATAGAAAATCTATGGAAAAACCTAAAGATTAGAGTTCATAGAAGAGGCCCATGGAACCTTCAAGATTTGAAGACTGTTTGTGTGGAAGAATGGGCCAAAATCACACTGGAGCAATGCATGCGACTAGTTTCGCCATACAGGAGGCGTCTTGAAGCTGTCATTACCTACAAAGGCTTTTGTACGAAGTATTAAATCAATTTCAGTAAGCGTGTTCAATACTTTTTCCCTGGGTCATTTATAATTATATTTACATTGTCATTTTGCAGACGCTTTTATCCAAAGCTACATACAATTGGGGAATCCATAAAGTGATTCTTCTTAAAGAGGCAAACAGACCCAGGAAGTGCTCATAATACCAAGTTTTAGGCATTGTTCAAATAAAGCTAGAAAGGGAAGGAATAAATAAAGAGAAAGACAAAGTTTTTTTTTAAATTTAGGATGAAGTCAAGTAGCGTCGAAAGAGATGAGTTTTCAGCTGTCGCTTGAAAATTGTCAGGGATTCAGCATTCCGGATAGGGGTGAGAAGATCTTTCCACCAGCCAGGAGTGGTGAACGAGAACGTTCTGGAAAGTGATTTTGAGCCTCTCTGTGATGGTACCATGAGGCGTCGCTCACTAGCAGATCTCAGACTTCTGGAGGGGATGTAGATTTGTAGTAGTGAGTGGAAGTAGGCGGGTGCTGAGCCTGTGGCTGTTCTATATGCAAGCATCAATGTCTTGAACTTGATGCGAGCCGCAACCGGTTGCCAGTGCAAGGAGATAAAGAGAGGTGTAACATGAGCTCTTTTGGGCTCGTTGAAGACCAGTCGTGCCGCTGCATTCTGAATCATTTGTAGAGGTCTGATTGTGCTTGATGGAAGTCCAGCCAGAAGAGCCAGGTCATTCCATTTTATACACAGAACTTAATTTCTGAGCTTATTTGTATTGTTTTCTTTGTATGTATGGGTTACTTGGATGGTTACCGACATCTGGTGAAAATTTCATGTCAACAGTACCTTTAGAAATATATTTATTGAGAAAAATTATGACGTGTTCAATACTTATTTTATCTGCTGTATATAATGATAGTAATTTGACTTTTGAGTAATGAGTTAGTTTTTTTAAATAATGCTCTATGCAAGAACAATCAAATGAGAAATATTCATTCAAAAGTAAAAAAAATAAAAAATACCTATAACAATAAACCATTAATAAACCAGTGCCAGAGTACAATACAATAATAATAATAATTAGTAATGTTTTACATAACATCACATAGTAATAATATTTAAAGAGAAAATAATTGTGTATATATATATATATATATATATTGTGATTCCTTTATTACATCACATTATCACATTAGCCTATTATTTATAAAGGATGAGATATTTAGTTTTCAAAGTGCCAATTGTATTCTGAAAATTACAAACGTCTAAAATAAAATAATTACAAACATTTACTATATATATAATGATACTAATTTGACTTTTGAGTAATTTTTTTAAAGGGGTCATATGATGCGATTTCAAGTTTTCCTTCATCTTTGGAGTGTTACAAGCTGAGTGTGCATAGATAAGATCCCTGAAGTTGCAAAGACTAAAGTCTCAAAACCAAAGAGATATTCTTTATAAAATGTAAGACTCTGCCACGCCCCCCTAAAACAGCTTGTTCTAACACGCCCCCACATATCTACCTCACTATGTGGAAATATTTGCATAATGTCGCCCAAATGTTCACGCAAAGAAAGAAGGCGTGGTTTCAGTAACCGTAGTTAGTGTTGAAGCAGCCATGTCAGGGAGACGCTGTGTGTTTCTAGGCGGAGAGAGAGAGAGACATCACAGTGGAGTCAGCTGTCTTAACCGTGTTGGCTTGTGTACTGCAAACACATACCAGCTTGAAGCTCGCGATTATGGTAAGGGGCGTTACATTTCCGACGAGTGCTTGCGGTGTTCAGCCAATCACAATGCACTGGGTCAGCTGGCCAATCAGAGCAGACTGCGCTTGTCGGAAGGAGGGACTTTGTAGGCGGGCATAGAGGACCTACAATAATGTACAGTATTTGAAAAATAATGTGTTTTTTGAACATTAAAGCATGTCAACATATTCTGTTACACCAAATACACAAAATAATGATCTTTAAAAAAAGCATCATATGACCCCTTTAAATAATGCTCTATGCAAGAACAATAAAATGAGAAATATTAATTCAAAAGTAAAAAAACAGACCAATAACAATAAACCATTAATAAACCAGTGCCAGAGTACAATACAATAATAATAATAATTATTATTATTATCATTCTTTTCTTTTTTTTTTTTTTTTTTACATAACATCACATAGTAATAATATTTAAAGAGAAAATAGTTTTATATATATTGGGATTCCTTTATTACATCACATATATGTAATAAAGGGAAATAGTTTTATATATATATATAAAAGTCAATAAAGCTAGAAATCATATTTAAGTCAGACCATTTAATTTTGTGAATGTGAACGTTTCTCATTAAAATACGTCGTGAGTGAGTTTTTTTTTACATGAATGAATGAATGAATTATTAATTTTAACAATAACATATTGCTTTTCAACATGTATAACACATTCTGAGAGTTCCCCCCCCCCCTCCCCCTCGGGAAGTACGATGATCACTTTATGAGAGCCGCGAGTGAGGTAGCGGCGTGGGGACGTTTCAGCGTGACGTCGGAAGCACATGTGTATCTACTAGCCTTCCATACCATGGAGCAGCAAGCTTTACTGTGATGCCAAGGAGAGTAAGTGCAGGGGTGGTCTGAACCGAGACTGCTTTAAGCCTTTCTCCATTCATCACTCGTTATTCATCGGATGAACTCTGACCAAGGTAAGATAATACATGATGGCTGAGCAGAATGAATGATAAGGTCGCTAAAAGGCACTGCCAGAGCACATCGCGCGCGGCAGCCGAGACAGCTTCGTTGATTACAATGGGAGCGTTCTGTTTCTTTGCGTCGCAGCGTACACTTACAAGCGTATGTTCTGCTGGGTATCGCACGTTTTGCTCTGTCGTGACGAAACAGTGTCACCCTTTTACATCAGTATGTCATTTCCTTCAGGCATCGCGGTATTCTCCGCAGCTATTGCATGGAAAGGACACAGTCATCCAGCAACGTTGTAGCTGTCAGATGCAGCTCTTCGTAGATTTTCTTTACATCGGGTGATATCCATAACTTATCTAACTATGAAGTCAAA